TCTTGGTCTCCCTCAATTCGGCCAAATGGAACGCCGCCGCGGCGCGCTGCGGAAACTTTGTGCGCCAGGGCGGGTAGGTGGGCGCTGCGGTGCTGCGGGGGTGGAACTGACCTAGCTTCTTCTCCGCGCGGCCCGGGGGGGAAGCTCGTGGAGGGGGTGCGCTCTACTCGGCTCTTCCCCCCCCCCTCCCCCCGAAGCCGCAAAGCGTTGTTTTCAGAGATTGGGCCGCGTGGAGCCCAAAACTAAGTCTCCCCGGAGGAAGAATCACACGCGCCTAGGAGGCCTCGGCGGTCAACTTGCTTAGAGACGCCTACGAGGGGCGGTGGAAGTGACCATATACCGGCCCGTCTAACAGTAAGCCCGATGAAAAATACTGACGAGTTGATCTAATTTGTACACTCTTTAAATATGTACACACAGCAGCGCAAATCTGTGCGCGCGCACGGGCGGGCGATAGACAGGCCCCGCAGAGTTGCCTTTGGATAATTAGACGGACTGCCTTGTTTGTAGAAGTACATCGCAGTACATAGGCGCGTTGTAATATTAATACCCTGTTTCGAGCTTAATATTTGCCCCCGCGCGAGCCTCTCGCTCCCATCCCATCGCCCTCTTCATCACCGTGGGCGCGACAGTCAGGCCCCCCTGTCCTGCGCGCGCCGCATTCACTGTATTTTCCGCGCCAATGAGTCGCCATTGTAATTGCGAGCGCAAACACACGAAGACAGCGGGCGAGCACAAATGGAATGACACGAGTAGTGTTTGCTCTCGGTGCACGAAGAGGAGTGCGAAAGGGGAGGAGAAGGCATCAGTGCCGTTTTACAAAGTACTACGTGGCGCCTCCCTGTCCCTATGCATGGGCGCCTCGGCGAAGTGACAGAGAGAGAGAGAGAGAGAAAGAGAGAGCGAGAGAGAGAGAGAGGATGATGGGGAGGGGGGGGGGCGGGGAGTTGGTTTCGCCCCTGCCTGACGCCGTCCTCTTCGCGCTGATGAGAAGAAACGCTTATTTGAATATGCACACGCGCGTCTATTTGCCTGTTCTGCGTCTTTTTCTATTTTTTTTTCGTCCCCTTGCCCGCCGTCGCGTTGTTTGGTCTGCAGGGGTAAAACGGCTCAGCCAATTATATGACACTCCCGCCTGCTGCACCCCACCGCGCCCGCTAACCGGATAGGACAGGTGGTGTGTGTGTGTGTGTGTGCGGACGCACGAGATCTCCTTCAAATGGGATCTCATCGCGACGCCCCTATTTCCGACGGCGGCAGTGCTCCTGTA